GGGAGAGAGATTCCGGAGGTGGAGGCGGCAGCTAACTGGCCGAGCGCGCGTCGGGGCGTCTCGCCGGCCGACCGGCGGCCGGCCTGACCACCCCGACGGCGCGGGCGGCGGCCGAGGGCAGGGGCCGGGCGGGGCAGACCGGCTCCCGGGGGAGCCGGCGACGAGGGGGCGGGCCGGCCGGCGCGTCGGATGAGGGTGGGAGGCGGCGCAGAGCGCGGTCGCGGCCTAGCAGCGCGACAAGGGCGGAAGTGGGGCGCGGAGGTCAGCGCGGACGCGCCCGGCGAGGCGAGAGACCGCCCAGGGCTCACCTGTACCGCCGCGCATGAGACGCCCGCAGCCCACGACTGCCGCAGCTCGGGGCGTCGTCCCGCCGGCAGCCCCGCCCTGGGCGAACACCGACACCCCGGGAAATCCGCCGGCGTCCGCGCCTCGCCACCTACCGCGCCGCGCCGCCCGGCGCCGCGTCGGCCGCTGGCCTCCGCGGTAAGGCGGCCGGAATGCGCGACCGGACAGTGCGCCCGGGGTCCGCCGCGCCGGCCGCCGCCCGCAGCCGTCACACCGCGGGAAAGCGCACGCGCCGCGCCGCTCTTGTCCCTTAGGCTTTTGCGACTCTGCCGTAAGGCAGCCATCGCGCTGTCGCGACTCGGCCGTGCGCCGCTGGAGCCAGGGGTCTGGGGTCATGGCTGCCCTGCGGCGCGGGAGGAAGACTCTGCTCCCACCTTTCTGCCGGCCTTCGCTGGCCGCCGCTGTCAGCTTGCCCCGGGCGGGTGCCGAGCGCAGGGATGCGGCACCGAGCCGGGTAAGCGGGGGCCCTGGGGAGGTTGGCCTGCAGGAGTGACTGCAAGGGGAGACGCCCCGGTTCTGCCGCCCGCCGGGCCGTCCCCAGTGCTCCAGGTTGAGGCGCCCGACATCCTGTCCTGAGCCGTCCCGCGGCCAAAGGCTCCGTGTCAGCTGCCTTGTCCGATGAACCGAAGGTGCCGCCGCCATCCGGGGGCTGTCGACAGAATTTTAAGCATAAGGGGTCAGCTAGCGAGTTTGCACATACCTCATTTATTCCCGAGGATAACTGTTTCTTATGTTTAAAGAGCTCTTGACGTAGACAGTGTGTGTTTTTTTCGTGGGTTTCGTCGAGACTATTAGTATTTTCTTCAGACGATGGCAACTTTACCATCCTAGGACTTCACGTTGAATAGTTCTCGTTTGCAAACTATGTGTGTTATATGTGCATGTTACTGGTCAAAGATCCACAGAGAACGTCTGTAGTAACAAAGAATGCAAGCAGTTTTA